TGCCGTAGATTCAGTGCTTTTGACATCATTTCTAATCAATCGTCGCTCATTCATAAACGTTAACATATTTGTTATAATATTATTTCCCAAATTCTATGAAACTTTACAAGTGACGATTCAGACTTTAGGGATAAAAGTCCTCTTTATTTTATGTATTTTTAAATTGCTGACAGACTTGTTACGCTGTGATGTCATTCCCCTGTTTTTTACTAAAAAAGATTATTGAGAAAATGTTAGTTGTTTTTTTTTACCTATCTTCCTGAAAGCTCCTTCTTCATGCAGCTCTTGCATGAAGTGAATTTCTCCTCCACTCTCAAGCCCTGAAAAATAAGAACAGATAACAATACATTTCCCCTCTTGTTCCACTAGATGGCGGTGCAGCTTCGCACAGAGGCGACTCACAACCCACAGAAGTAAGACGTGTTGGAGTAATAAAAAGTGACAGCAGTGTAATTAGGACATGACAGCACAGGGGTGTTTGACTCCACCATTACCTGAAGAACACCGTCATAATGAGAGAGTTCCTCGGGTTAGAACACAACTGAAAACTGCGGCTCCTACTTCCGTGGAACTAATTGTTCCAAACACAACAAGCTCTTTGTTTTGAAAATAAACCTCGTCACTCAGGAGACGCCCGGTGGGTTTGTTTGTTTGTGAGTGGCTGTACATAAATACTGACTAGACTCTGAGACACGTTATATTCTAAAAAAACTTCTACATAACAAAATAATAATATATATATATATATCATTTATGGCCACAAGAGGGCACGCTTTACAGTCGCCTCTCCTGCCGTACTGGGAAAACGACACGATTGGACCGCAGAGACTTAAAGAATAAAAACCGTTACCAAACAAAAACCTTAACGCCGCGAATTACAACTAAAAATGATAAAGTACGGAGAAAAAAACAGTTTAGAAGGACAACGAGGATGAACGGATTCCGTGATTTCGAACTTGTTAGCCCGTTAGGCTAACATATTTAGCCTATGTTGTGTATATAACAGTCTTTGTAGATAAAATGCTCGTTCTTGGAAACTTATTAAAAGAAGTCCCCCAAAACGAAATGGTTTAAAGTCTGGTCAATACAGTAGGACTTTGAGTGAATCAATAACTGGAAATAAAAGGAGCTGTTTTGATCGTACACTTGTGTTGTTTATAAAAATGTTTCATTTAAAATAACTGTATTAAAGTAGTTATTGGTAGATGTAATAGTGATGAATGTACTTGAGATTTCAAATGGTGGAAATATTGTCATTTATTATTTTGATTTTTATTATTATTATTGTGTTTAAAATATTATGAATAACTGCGATAGAATGTATTTCATTTCACCTGAACTATGGACTAATATTTATTTAAAAAAATCTCAGTTGACAACAGTTTTACCTCTGTGCGTGTGTGTGTGTGTGTGTGGTGACAGGAAGTGGCTGCACTGTTTAGTGTGTGTTCAAACCACTGAACCACAGTTGGATGTTTAAAAACCACCGCTGCTCTCACCCTGCTGCCGCGGTGCAGCCGCTCCTTCATGACGCCGATGAACTCTTTGTGGCTCAGCTTGTCGTCGTGATCCTCGTCAAAGATCTTGAAGACGGTGTTGACCAAGTGTCGGGTGAGTTTGATCCCCGTGGCCACGTAAACAGCTCTGGCAAACTCCTCTGGAAACGACAGTCGAAGAGACAAGATTGATTTAAATCGACTTAAAAAATGGCCTGCCTACTGCAATGCTAGGTTTCACCACTAGCTAGGACAACTAGGACAAAGATAGTAATGACTTGCGGTGACTCCTCACCTTGACCAATGGAGCGGTGGGCAAAGTTGTACATCTGCATGGCGATGGCGAAGTCCTCCAGGTTGTTTAAGAACTGAAAGAAAGAGCGGAACTCCTCGAAGGTGATTCCCTGCGGAGAGAGAGAGACGTTCTCATCAAACATGAACCATGTGAAAAGTAACAAGTGCCACATACGGAAAAAAAAACAACAAAAAAACCTTTGTGTGTGTCCACACGAGTGCTGCAGTTCACACAAATCCTTTCATGTCCACACTAGTGCTGCAGTTCACACAAATCCTTTCATCCTGCAGTGTGTGTGTGTTTCTGGAATAGCTGTACTAGAGGGGACCACGGAAAATGACTGCTGTCCTGGGGACTTTTTTTACATGTTTTTTTACAGCAATATTACACATTTGTAATACGTAAAGTTACAATAGTGTTTCACAAAGTAGGGGGCGGGACCCTCTTAGGGGGCCACAGTGCTATTGCACGTAGGAGCAGCAATAAAAATTAATATCCATTTACTAATTTTGTTGATTTGTGGCACATGAGGGAAAATTTAACTGATTTTTAAAATTTTAATTCTATTATTAAATGCCAATTGTTTTTGTGGGAATGAGAATATTTCAAATAAGGTTCATTGAAGTTTGGAGACAATGGCTGTGAACGACATGGGGGGGCTCGACAAGGATCCTATCTTCGAAAGGGGTGCGCTGCAAATGTGTGTGTGTTTGTATGGGACCTTGAAGGCATCAGATAGATAACACACCCAAACAGACAAAGTATACACTTGTGGATTTTCCCTGCTTAGTATGGACACGCTGAGCTGTCAGCAGTGTGTGTGGGGGGGCAGGAGAGGAGGATGGAGAGAGAGAGGGTGAGGGGTGGAGGAGGAGGGGTGGGGGGTTCTGCTACAGCTTTTGGGGAGAGGTCAGGCCATATACAAACTTTTCCTAAAGCAGATTAACCTGATACTTGTATAAACAAAAACAAAAGTGATGAATCCCCAAACATCTCAGGCCTGGCTGATGACTCAAACACTGAGCCCATTGATGTCCACTCAACCGTCCCACAGCTACCAGGTCCTCCCCTCGCGGGGGCCCCCCGTCCAACAGGCAGCACACACAGCATAACAAATGGAGTAATGACTAATCTGTGACGCTTTGCTGTTTTAACAAGGAGACGGCCATAAAATATCTCTCAGCCCGACGATGAGACCCACTTGATTGTCAATGGAGATCTAGCAACAGGCTACTCCAGGCGGCTGCCGTGCTTTTCAGACGGGTCAGCGTGCTGAGAGCGAAAACACATTAAAGCTCAAATGAGGATGCTTCACTCAACAGCTTATTCACACAGCGCTGCTGAAGAGACACATGGGAGGAAATCACAAACTGTACAGTTGGCGCACACACACACGGCTGGGTCTCAGTGTGATGAGAAACAGGAGTTTCACGTCTGTTCTGACCAAAATATTAACATTTTATTGGTATAATAATTAGGACAGGAACTAATTTTAATGTTTTAGTTAAAGTAACAAAACAGGGTAAAAAAAAATTAATTAAAAATGACCTATTATCTATTTTTTTTTTTTACATTTTTATAGATGCCTACTCCAGTCTGCAAGTGGCAGTAATGCACCAAGTTCATTAGCTACGACAGTCCTGGTACAGACCCCAGAGCTAACGTTAGCTACGACAGTCCCGTTAAAGACCTCCTAGCTAACGTTAGCTCTGGAGTCTGTACCAGGACTGTTGTAGCTAGTGTTAGCTCTGGTGTCTGTACCAGGACTGTTGCAGCTAACGTTAGCTCTGGTGTCTGTACCAGGACTGTTGTAGCTAACATTAGCTCTGGTGTCTGTACCAGGACTGTCGTAGCTAACGTTAGCTCTGGTGTCTGTACCAGGACTGTCGTAGCTAACGTTAGCTACAACAGTCCTGGTACAGACACCAGAGCTAATGTTAGCTACAACAGTCCTGGTACAGACTCCAGAGCTAACGTTAGCTACAACAATCCTGGTACAGACACCAGAGCTAACACTAGCTACAACAGTCCTGGTACAGACCCCAGAGCTAACGTTAGCCACAACAGTCCTGGTACAAACAAACAGTGTAACCAGTCCACAAAAGACCAGGTGACAGGGTTCAGAGCCAAAATCCTAATTCCCAAATAAAACAGAGCGGTACCTTTTCATCAGGAATACTGTGTCGCACACTCTCCAGGTAACTGTTGACATCGTCCACGTTGGTGTAGCGCAGGAGAATCCGGGCGAAGTCTTCCTCACTGATGGTGGGCATACCTTTGGAGTAGGAGAGGAACTCTATCTCGAGCACCTCTGTCTGCAGGTTGTCCATGAATCTGGAAGTGAAAGATGGACAACAGCTGCTGACAAGGAGCACCAGCAACTCACAAAAGAACACTTGACACCAGTCACCAGGAGCATCACTGAAGGTCCGGCTGACGACAGACCTTCTCAAGTCAAAACTCACTTGTAAAAATCTTCAAACTTCAGCTCGGCTTTGCCTTTTTTCCCAAAGAAATGCACCAGCAGCGTCGTTTCTGTTTTTTCATTCCCCTGCAATTAGAGAAGCAAACGTTAATTCAGGTGACGCTCCACGGTGACACCCCACGTCTGACATCGGCGCTGCAGGAATTCACCGTGCACAACCAGCAACTACAGCTAAACCGGAGGAAGTTCAAAACCTCAGCCCCAAAAACAAGCAGGTAAAGATTAACAAGACAGAGTGAGTGTTAGTGAAGAGCTCCACCCTGACTCAGCTGTTTAATAATTACTCAAGAGTCAAAAGATCATTTTCGCTGCCTCTAAACCAGTGGCCGGTGTTTTTAATATCCACAGTACGCAGATGTGGACCAGGCAGCAGAGTGAAGACACAGGCTGCAGCCCTGCACACAGACGACACATCTGTTTGACAGAACAACAGAAGAGCGATTTCAGCTTTTATAGAAACCAGTGTTCATTTTAATGGACTTCTGTTTGGCTAATTCTGTCTGACTTTTTGGCAAACACTTAAACAGGAAGTTCATTGTGTGTTCAAATTTAAGTGTAATTACTATTTATATTGCATTAATATATTACTAATTCCTTATATGGGCATATACATATGCATATATATCCATATGCATATATGTATATATACATATATAAGAATATACATACATATATGAACATGTATCTCCATATATATACATATATGGAGATACATATACAAATATATACATACATGTACATATACATATATACACATAAAACATATATGTACATATATATACATATATTACATATATGTACATATACATATAGATCTGTAATTTTCCAGCCTGAGCTCAATAAAGTAAAGTACATCTATCAATGTATTTACACACACACATATATATATATTTATATGATCGTATTTAATGTCTATACCTAAATAATATATGTGTACCAGTATCACTGTTACAAACACAGTCACATGGTACAGCAGCGCCTGTTATATAAATCACAGTCGAACTTTGACATTCAAAGGTGAGGTACAGTAGCATTCGAGTGAGCGCCCCCTACCTCGGACAGATCGGAAAACAAAACATGACTGGTTCGACGTCTGAGAACGTCCCACATGCCGCGGTTCTCCACATGCTGACTGTCTTTTTTAAGGACCTGTGGTGGCCGGTGAAGCACAGCTGTTAGAGCACAGAGCGTTTGTACATTTGCCACATTAGTGAGTACGATAAACGAGGGAGAAGGTGATGCACGGGGAAACAATAATACAGATTCACAGACATGCGGGGTCAGCATGCGGTCCTGACACTGAGGACGTGACGTCTATGTGTTGTTGAAGAGGCAGACGCTGAGTGGGGCTGACACCAGTGGTAAAATATACGCTGCTATAATACAAGTCAAACCAGAGAGTCAGAATTAGTGTTGACCAATCATCAGTTGTTTTTTTTTTTATATATGTGCATTTTTTAATTAGTTATTTTTAAAATTTCAAACATGGTGATTTTGTCATTTTTTAGCTAATTTAGTGATAAATAAATAAAATAAATTTGAACTATATTGATCCCATATTTGGGAAATTCTCTGTGTTAACAGCAGATATGCTGTTCCTGTGGGAATCCAACCCAGGACTCTCTGCTTCCGAGGCAGGCGTGCTGACCGCAACACTATGGAACCAAAGTAACCACTAATTAACCATAAATACGTCTGCATAAAGATAACTAGGGGCGGAAAAAAAAAAACAGTCAAAGTCAGGACAGGAACATAAACGGGCGGGAAAAAAAACAGTCAAAGTCAGGACAGGAGAAAATATTGTATCGTTGTCCAAATAAAAAAATAATCATCAGAAACCGTTTCTATTGAGTTCTTTAACTTTCAGCCATGTGTACTTTTTGATTCTGCCTGGAACAAAAAAATAACTACTTGTTGCTATTTTCTCACCGTCATCACGGCACAGCTCAGGTATCAACCCGTCATTACTCTCATTACAGTTTACGCTGTTGCCCTCACTCTCTCGGCCCCTGTGGGACAAATGTGAGGCTGCACTGAGTCACGCTTGTCAACAACAGCTAGCTCGTATTCAACGCTGTGTACGTTCAAAAAGATGACGACGACGACACTGATCTGTCAACAGGGCTGACAAGAGGAACTGGGTTTTCTGTCTCTCGACGTCACCTGGGTGAAGAAAACACACTCGTAATTTTTTTTTTTTTTTACACCTAATTCATTTTTCTACCTTCAGCCTGAGGCAGACAGCTGATAAGACTTCTTTCATAACACTTGTCATTTTTTTTTAACCGGAGTTAGATTTACAACACTGTCCCGTAACTAATTACAAAATGGCTTTTGAAGAAACCGCATTGGTCTCGCCTTGAGATATAAAAAATAAATAAATAAACCAAACCAAACCAAACCAGAATATGTCGGGGGAAAACCCGACCTGGCTGCTGCGTCAGTGAAGAACGCAGGAAAGTTACCCACAGTGCAGCAGGAGAAATCAAAACACAGGAGAGACACCACTAAAGATAAGTCTTCAAACAGTTGACTGAAAAGACAACTCCGTCCCTCTGTGAGCTGCAGGCTGTGTGTGTGTGTGTGTGTGTGTGTGTGTGTGTGTGCTGAGTGCTCTCCTCTCCTCTCCGCTCTAACTGGCATCTTCATGGTCAAACCCACCTCTAAAGGTAACCTGAGCCCTAATACCGCTCCTCTAGAAACTGTAAAAATAAAACATGGGGGTCCGGGGCGAAAACGCCGTCAGTCTGCCGCTAAGTGGGAATCGGCTGCCAAACGCTGACAAAAGAGCGGGACATAAATCACCTGTGAGCTCTCACACGCAGAGAGTCGGTTTGTCAGAAAAAAATGCAGAGTATTGGGATTCCGGTGAATGTGAACGAGGCTTCGTGTTCGGCGCTCACAGAGACAGGTACAAGTTGTGTCAACCCCACAGACGCTGGTGCTGCTTTCTCACTCAGAGGGAGGGTTTGTTGCAGGGGAGAACAACATGCAAAACACACACACACAGACACACACATGCACCAGGTAGAAATTGGTCCTAAAAGGGGAAAAGAACGATACGCACATTGTGCAGCTGGGATTTGCGATGACCGTAAAGCTGCAGATTCTGAAACGCAGGAGAGAAGAAGAAGAAGGAGCGTGCAGCAGAAGATCCACTCAGGTTAGTCACACAGCAGTTTGTAGGTAGAAGGTGACTGAAGGGTCGACCTGAGGTTTTCAGAACCCCCCCTCTAACCCCCCCCCCTCCCATTTTAATGCACCCCTGCAGATCTTGTTTTAGCGTTCCATCTGGAGAAGCCTTTTCTCTGGATCTTTTTGATGGATATATATACGGGTGTGGGATTAATTCAAGACGCTCCAGAGATGCTAACGTGTGTCCCTGCAGAATAAGCTCTTCCATATTGTGTTTGCACGATAAGACCTCAAAGAGCGAGTGTCTCTTATCGCTGGGGTCGGGCTCGGTCTGTTTACATCCACCTGCATGTGGCACAAGACAACTCTGAGGAGATGAAAGCCCGAGGCATGTTTTACCCTGCACGGCCGCATTCAACTCCACAATGTGGTCTCTCTAAGAACAGAGTTAATGATGGAAACGCTGCTGCAGGGAATGTAGTTTGTAGTTTTAGGTTCAGGTTTATTTGGAGCTCTAAAAAGCTGTAATTATTTAGCTAATTCTTTTTAAATAAACTCCATTGATCAACTTAGTTCTTCTCGTTTGCTGCTCCCTGAAATACCTGTTCGACGTTATCTGCTGGCTAGCTGCTAACTCTGTCGGGCGGCTACAGATCACTGTGATTTTCACGAGTGGAACAGTTACTTATTTTTAAATTACAGTCTGTGATATCATGTCATTTGGACTGGTCATAATTAAAGGTAAAAAAAAAAATCTACAACCTCATTCTGACACGTCTGGACCACGGGGAGTTTACAGAACCTAGTACTTCAATTATGACCAAATATACAACATCTAAACCAACAGTCAGTGATTTTTTTTTTGGTTCGACCCATAGTACTAACTGCTGGTGGTACTGTGTAGCAGAAGTCACTGACTATATTTGTTGGAGGGTCAGAATTCTTTCTGGACAGACACATTGGGGGCTGGACACTGGACAAATGTAACATTATAATTTGATGTTTATGTTAGAATCCAGGCGCGGGCCAGATTGGACGGTTTGGCGTACCAGATTTGACCCACGGGCCCTCAGTTCATGCACTTTTATATAGCGTTTGCATATACTCTTTCATGTGAAAAACTGTGAAGCTAAATGAGTAAAAAAAATCTAAAGCTCGTAAAGTGGTATTAATGTTACAGGTACCTGTTGGTCCAGCCTCTCAACATCACCAACTTCTTTTCTGTCCTTTTTCTTGCGGAATATTTCCTCCAGCTGTAAAGAGACGACAGCGTGCGATTAGACGTTTTGGAATTGATCAATCAACTGTACAACAGAGATCTGCAACCTTCAACACCGAGGGAGACACATGTGCACACACATTTCAACCATTCCATATAAAGGCAGCCGGGCAGTGTGTGTGTAGTAGTACTGCAGTTTTACTACAGATTTATACTAGAAGTACACAGAAAACTACTGTGGTTTATTCTGTTACTTCACAAATGTATGTATGTTTTTATTTCGAAATTCATTATGTGGGCCGAATTGAACCCCGTTGCTGAACGGTTTTGGCCCGCAGGCCATATGTTTGACACCCCCATAAAATCTGTAATCTACCTGTAGAGTTTTTTTTCTTCACGTCAGACAATCAACAAACAACAATCCTAAATCCTAGCCACAGGTTGCAAATCCCTGGTCTGTGATGAGGAGCTGCGGTTCGTACCACCAAGAACTCTCTTTTGTCCACCATTTCGTTCCCATCCGCGTCAAACATGTTGAAGGCGATCCTGAAGCCGGCGTGAGGCTCTGGTATCAAACAGAGGTTAGAGTCAGAGCAGACAGAGACAGAGGAACAACCGCAGCCTTCAGTGACCAACACGTCCACTCACTGGTTAAAATGCAGAGCAGGAACAGGTACTCTGTGTAACTGATGACACCTGGAGACAAAAACAAAACAAAACAGGTTGAGAAACCAACACCAAAATGTGTTTTTTTTAATCTTCCAAACCTGACAGCGTGGTGCAGCAACAAAGGCCACCAGGTGTTTACAGATGTTCAAAGACGTGCGGCCCGAGGTGAACGCAGCATCGGCGGAAACCGAGCCCGCCGTTGGACAAGGGTAATCTTCTCGCGCCCGCTGATAAACATCTTAAAAGGTCCTTTTACTTCATGCTTGGTGTTCCCCCTCACACAAACACGGGCTTTACAGCTAAGCTGTCCTATCTGACACAAACCCAAACAAATTTAAGGCCTCGGGCTTCTGATGGTGCTTGGCTAACAAGGTGTAATACATTCTCAAGTGATCTGTCACTGATTGAGAATGGCCGACGCAGGTTTTGTGTCCCTGTCCTTCAGCTTCCTTTGTTGTGTGATACGGAGAAGGGGAAGAGTAAGTGTCGGGAGACATCTCAGCCTCTCCCCTTTGACTCTGAAAGCATTCCCAGGCTTTTGTTTGCTCCGAGAGATAGAGAATCCAGCTCAGATAGTTCTGGGTGACTGCTCTGAGTGTTATGGGAAAAGAACCCGAGTAGAGGTTTAGCTGCAGGGAGATGTTTTTTTTTGTTTTTGTTTCAGAAAAAGCTGTCAAAAAAGGAGGGAGAATTTATACTGATTTTCTTTTTGTTTTCCCCCCAGCACTGGAAAGTAAAATGACAGAGAGACGTAGGCGCTGCGTGCCAATGGACAGAGTTCATCTCCACACTGGTTATAACAGAGTGCTCTGTCTTCTCACTCCAGCTCACACTGTTTGGCAGGTACGGCCCTGTAATGACAACAGATCAGAGCTTCAAAGCTTTTAAAGCTTAAATGGGTTGAGGAGAGGGGAAAACTTTTAAGATTCCAGTCGTGTCTCACCAGTACCACACACCTTCACTCCTGGAGGCAGCACTCCCCCCCACTCCACCCCACCCTCCCACCACCCATGCCCCCCACACCTCCTTCCTCATCCTCATCCTCCCTCCCTCCCTCCCTGCAGCTCAGCCTCTGAGCTCAAGTAGATGTTGTTAGACAATACAAAGAATTCCACAGAAACACTTCATACAGAGTGGCAGTCCCACAGATGTAATCCAATGCCATTCTAGGCTTCATAATGTCCATGGTGATCAGGGGGTGGCCGGTCGGACGTGTCTGAACACGGCCGAGTTCAAACAGCTCCCTCACTCTCTCAAACCACGCTTTGTTCACAGATCAATCCCGTCCCCTTTTTTCCCTGACAAAGCCTCAAAGTTTAACAGCAGGATTAAAAGCCCCAAATCCAGGCATTGGCACTTAGCTAAAGCAACAGGGGAGAGAGAGAGGGAGAGGGAGTGAGAGAGAGAGAGAGAGAGCAGTGAGGTCTGATGCTGCACTGTCTGCTGGACTCAACCCTTTTGGCCCAGGTGGGAAAAGTAGGAGCAGGAACATTCCCTCAATTTGGAATTTTTTTATTTTCACCGGTTTGAACTGAGGTTTAGTAGAAACACAGTTGAACCACATTCACCCTTGAGGTCACCATCAGTACTACACTTATCAAGGACATCCAGGAATGTGCTGCAGTGAAGGTCTCACCATAAGGCCCATTAAAAGTATTATTATTATTATTTCTGATACATATTCAGAAAACCCTCTATTCAGCAAATTTTTTATTATTTCTGATGCATTTTCAGAAAACCCTCTATTCAGCAAATTTCTGACTGAAATAAGTCAATAATAATAAATAGTTGATGGTTGATCTAAAGACTCATTATTCTGGTTGAACCTGGTTGAGATCAGCTGATACTCTTTATATTTTATTCCTTTCTGAGACCATATTTTTGACAAATGTTTTTACACCATGAAGAGACTGGAAAAATATATGGATCAAACCCTGAACTGAAATAAATAACTTGATACTGAAGTATTTCAAGGCAGTTTTTCAGTGTTTTCTGAATCTGTATGTGATGAAAGTCATCGGGTTTTAACTAAAACTCATAACTTTATATTATAATCCAAACATATTATTGACAAACTGGGGCGTCAAGAGAAAAATTAATTCTCGACACGTTACCAGACTGATAACATAACAGTTTGTGACGAGCACAAATGCACGCGCAGAAGGTCGTCATACGGCGGCTCTAAAAATAACAGCGTTAAAGGGGGAATTACGTACGTACATCCGAGGGATTTACAGCATGTGCTCTCGACACACGACCAGGGTTCCTCACCTCTTTCACGAAGATTCCTGAACAAATTGGATGATCCTTTCCAAACAGGTGGAGTATCAGCCAGCATCTTGTCTAACTCCTGGGGGAGAGCAGGAAAATCCCAAATCACTCATTCATTTACACATAAACACGGCGTTTACTGTCACTGGAGGAATTACACAGATAAAGTGGTGAGTCATCTGCAAACATGAGAGAAACAGTTTTTTTTTTAAATTAAATAACGATTATGATTTTCGAGGCAGAAGCTTCTTCGTCTCTGCCGTGTGTTTGGCTGCAGTAACAACATGTAGAGGGAGCTTTTCTTACCTTCTTCGTCAGAGACCTCCATGCTCTTTTACCTGAAAATAAACAGGTCAACAGTTAACACTTTATATCATCATTCATTCACTCTGTATTTTCTTATTCCATTTATACCAAAATCATACAGAAAAAAATATGCAGCAAATGTACAAGAGGTCATTTAAAGAGCAAAAGGTCACCGCTGTCCCAGTGACCTGATGACCTTTCAATGTCCCGTCGACGTTATATTCTTTACGACAAATCATTTGGCCGCGGTGTTATGGCTAATGGAGTGTTTGCTCTTCTTACCGGCGATGGATCGATATCTGAACCTGGACTGGTATCAACACTGACACCTGTCTTCCTCCCTATTCACTACAGCTTTCCTCGTCAGTTCATACAAAACAATTTCACACAGCTGACGTGACAACAACACAGAGTTAATCCAGTGACAACTTCAACATTTAACTCCAGTTTGTTAACACTTCCAAGCAATTTTTTTCCCAAAGTTAATTTGAGCATCTGTGTGACAGTTCAGGCCTGTGATCATCAAGGTGTATTCTGGGATATTGGCAGGTATCGCATGGACATTTACATAATATTCAGGTCAAAAATATATTTTTTCAAAAAACATATTTCATAGTTTTTTATTTTAATTGATAAAAACAAACAAAAGTGAAATGTGTTGTTTACGTGGACAAAAAAATAAAATGGGTCGCATATCTCAGTGGACACATTCCAATGGTCCATTAAGCAAAAGATAAGATGGATGTCTCATAAAAACACCTGGCTGGAGACGGCCACAGATAACAGGCACATTAACCTGTTATCTGGGGAGGTCTCCACTGACACGTTATCAAGCTGCCATCGTCACATCCAGCCAAATGTGTAGTACTGTACTGTAGTACTGTCAACCTATTAGTTTATTTATAACATTCAGCATTTATTGATCTCAAATAAATTATTAACAGAGCAGCGGTTCACTGAGGAGTGGACTCAGAACATGCACCAGGTCTGAGTCCTCCTGCCTGGGTCTCAGGATGTTTTGCTGACTCTCATTTCAGGACCATGACTAAGGTTTAAAAAAAAAATCCATCCCAACGACATAACTCTCCATTTATGGCCACAGCAAAACCATAAAACAACACGACTGACAACCAAAGGCTAATGACAAAGTGCTGCCCAACCTTTTACAGTTCACCACATGTTCAGAAGAACCACAGCGGGCCACACAGTGCTTCCTAATCTATGGGTGTAATCACAACATCCTAATATTACCTTCACCAGATCCTTGATCAAACCGTTGGGCCGCGTTTGTTGTCTGATAGTTTGCTGTCACATAAATGAGCCATAAAAGTGGAGTTGCTGGTAAAGATCCTAATCTTTATGCAGGTGTTATGACTGAAGCTCTTCAAGCTGCAACTTAATGTCTGCTGACACTTCCCAGGCCCTCAGCAGCCTGGCACGTTCCAGGAAACAACAGAGTGCGGGGCCTTTTCATGAAGCAGAAAAAAAAAAAAAAAAAAAAAAGGCCGTGCAGTAATGGGATGAAGGCGGAGCAGAGATTTATCTGATGAATTGATGGAAGTGTAATTAAGCAAATGGCTGCTGTCAAATGAAACCGACTTCTGCCCAGGGCGGCAGAGAGAGCGTTCAGACTGAGCTCCATCTGCACTGCAGCAGCCACCGAGTTCTGCTGCTGCTATTATTTTAATGTTTTAATTTTAATGATGCACTGCGTAAAATTTAACGAGGAAGAATTTAATTTAATCCATGAATAAAATGTTTTTAACTGATGCTTTCATAAACTACACCAGTTGATTCCATTGACATTATTTTCGTAAAAATTCTGCTCATTTTAGAGGAAACTGAACAAAAGTTAGACAGGAAGTTACGTGGAGCTAAATGACCATGATGGAATTTATTGATGTATAGGTCAATCAGTAACGGCAAGACAAAAAAATAAATAAAAATAAAACCAGGAACAAAGTCCAACCAGTGCTTTTGTTTTGTTTTTTTTGCTGTCAACAAAAGGTGTAACTAGCACCTAGTCGTGTTTACCCGATGGTTAGATTAGAATTCTTCCTACTGCTCCACACTAGTCATGAAGTGTTGAATTATTTATGATGAATTAAAGTTTCATTTTTCATCATTGGTGAGCACTTCCATGAAAGGAACAGATAAATACATAAAATATGACGTAAATAAAACATGTGAAAAAAGCTACAACAAAAGAGTGTGTGGCATTTTTTATCCGATTCTGTTGTGAGTGACGTAGAGTTTGGGCCGTAAAATATTACGTGATACGTATTACACTTCATTATTCACTGATCATAACAACAAAGTCTGTAGTCTGTGTTTGTGGAGACAGTGTTGGTGACCAGTCTGTGAGCACGAGTCAGAGAGCAACAGAAGAGACAAAACTCACTTTTGGGTTCGTTCACGGTGACGGACTCGATGAAGTTGAGCGGCGTCATGAAGAGCTGACCCTCGTGTTCCACCGAACTGAACAGACGGAATCTGTTTTCATAGGACGACATGTAAACATCTCCATCATCCAGACTGTACGACCGGGCCTGTGGACACACACACACACACAGAGACACACACAGTGAGTGACAGACCGTTCTGGAATATTGCAGCTCATATCAACAGTAATAACAGCGTCTGAAAGATGCTTTTCGTGAACTCCACGTACACGGAACAACAGAGAGGCTTGAATTCAGAAAACCCGGGGAGAGCGCACATGTGCTGTGTCATCTCCACTTTTCATCCCTGGTCACCAGATAATGTCTCTGCCACTGGGCAGATAAGGAGACCGGGCCTGGTGAGGAGAGAGTGGCTCTCTCTGTCAGGTGGCACCGTGCCAGGTCCAATGGGCACGCAGCAAACAGCCCTGGGAATGCGTGCCCCTCACCCTCCCGCCCCTCCTCCTCGCTTAACCATTAAACCCTGTCCGTCCACCTCTACCTCGCATCAAATGTCAGCCCTTCTGCCAAGCCTCGGTGTCCAGTTTCCTGTGTCCCTGAATTCTTGTTGCCTGTGGACACCAGTCAAGTTCACTCCCCTCCCCCTCACCCCCCACATGCAGGTATCCAACAAGGTCTCCTCTGTAGCAAAAGGAGGTTTTTACAATCCAGACCTGGTTTACATGTGTGTTTACAGCAGTCTGCAAAGGTTAACAACACAGAGCAGAGACACGAACTGGACGCCAAACTGGTCAATCCTGAACTAAGACTTTATATCAAAGAAAACACTGCCTTTAAAGCAACTCAGATGTGTCATCGTTTGAGCCAAGAATTTGAACACTTAATTAATTTAGGTTCAAAATGGACAACACTAATAGATGTTTATTTGTAAAAACTGTCTTTTCCTACAGAAAGATCTTCCTTAAATTCATCCTTTTTTCATTTCTTGACAAATGAAAGATTTTAATCTGTCTTAAAGCAAGTGAAGCCTTTAAATGCACATCAATAATGTATATTTATTGCTAATAAAATATGTATAAATTATTAAAACACATTAATAAATAATGTACATTTATTATTTAATACATTAATTATATATTGTGCATTGTCTTGTGGTTTGAGTCTGACTCTCCTGCTCCTTCCACCTCTTTGGGTTTTGATCTTTTACTCTTTCAGTTGCATCTCTTTTTATCTAATATATGTAAATATTAGCATTTTAAAAAAAGGAGAAATTAGAAAATACTGATGTAAATCTTTGCAGATAAACACAATACTGCATATATGTATATATATTTATATCTTAAAATAAGAATTATGACAACTTTAAGATAAAAAAAATCTCTATATTCCTTCAAATACATTGGAGGAAAAAAAAGATGTGAAATGTTGCATCACTGGCAGCTGTTAGTTAAAAGTTCCATCACAGCTGTACGTGGCCACATAAAGTACTAGTCAGTAGTACTTCAATAGAGAGTAAAGTATTCGTACTCATTTCCTAATGTAACTATGGAAACGAGCATGTAAATATGGCAGGCAGGAGATCCGAGTGACCTCAGATGCCTTTCTGCGTTTCACCATTTCAGCACCGAGGGTCACGGATAGCTCCTGACGATGACGTCACACCATCGCCATCGCCATTACTTGTATAGTTTAGTCTACAGGATATGGATGTAATAGTTTCATGGGGGGTGGGGGGGGAAGTAATGACGTCAGATAAACAGAACCGACGAGCTCAGAGTCACACGGTAAACACACACACACACACACGGAGAGTGGATCTGTCGCGGTACCTTATCCGTGGCACAGACTGACGGCAGCAGCAGAGTCGACAGTCGAGCCTCGACGCGGCTCCTCCAGCACCGCTGACGATGGTGGAGATAATAATAGTAAAAAGCAGCACCGGCGCAGGCTCCGGCTGCCACCACCTTCAACGCGGACGTTCGCTGCCCGGGCGCGACGAAGAGGAGCCTTCCTGCCGCGGCGGAGGAGAGGAGTCGGCGGAGGGAGGCCATGTCTGTGGCTGACGCTGTGGAGACGTTTACGTTACCAGGATAACACACTGTACCCGAGAGAGGGAGAGGGAGAGGATGGTGAGCGGCGAGATCTGTGCGCCCCTGTGAGCTCGCGAGAAATGGCGTGATGACGTTTGGCCGGGTTTAAAAGGCGTGTGAACGCGAATATCCGTTGGAAATTGATCTTGAATTAGTTCCCTCAGTTGGAGTGAAATATATATATATATATATATTTAACAATCTCTTATCAGGTACATGTGCAATTAGTGAACACGGGGGGGGGGTATAACCGTCACTATATCATTCATGTCATTCCTGCAAAAACAAAATATCAAGTGAAAATTAATCTCATGGGGAATCTTTTTAAGATCTTTTTTCCTTTAAATATCCTCAATTACCAAATTAAATATTTGAAGCCGAGGACAGGGTTCAGTTCTTCCACCAGTGCATGAATATTTCTGGGAGTAGAACTCAAAGCCAAGTCTTTGAACTTGCAGTTTCAAAGACAGTGATGATCCTCAGTACACGGACGTTGTCTCCTGGAAAAGAGAGAAAATAGAAAATGTTAATGCATAATTAATAAAAATACAGTTTGTCCTCGTTGTTTCATTGTATTTCAGTGAAAACATTTTCATTTCATTATTTCAAAATGCAATGATTACAAGTGCAATAAACTTTGTCTTAAAAAAAATTCTAAGTTTTATCTTATATTCAAAAGCAGGACTTTTAAAAAACATAACTGGTTTAATTTCATTTAAATCATTAAAATTTTATACAAGTGTTTTGATTTGTTTGCTTTTTTCTGTGCGGATTTTAACTAGTGTCAAAATTCAGAGGTTTATATTCCCTCTCTCCCCCTCCCTCCCTCCCTCTCTCTCTCCCTTCCTGCGTGTTTTATGCCTTGGGAGGAGGAAAAGAAAAATCTCTGCCAGGGCACGTCTGAACTGTGACAGCCCCGCCCCATTACTAGTCCTGTGGTTTTGCACCTGCCTCACCACCCTGCTGCCACTTAGAGCGCAAAAACCTCCTGAAGCCGCTTCACCTGCACTGCAGCGTTTGCTCTCTCTGCTCCACCGAGGAGGCATCACCACAACCACCACCACCACCAGCAGCACCACAGAGACCACCAACACCATCAGCTTGAAGCCAGGTATGCTCCACGCTGAGGACCGGGTTCGCGCACCTCCAACTGATGCGGACGCAGCGGCGGCGCCGGAGGGAGTATCGGTGCTGAGCGCATAGGAAACCCGTGCGACAGCGTGTCCTTGCGCCGCGGGGACATGTGCTAAGTAACGGAGCAGGTGGACGAAAACATGCGAGCTTAAGTGAGAAAGGGAGAGAAAGCAGATAGTGCCTACTACGCACGAGAGAAACGCGGTCCTCCGGACCTCCTCACTGAACTTTGGCCGATGAGCTTTGCTGCTGCTGCTGCGATGGCTGCTGTTGCTGCCGTCTCCTCCTCCTCCGCTGCTGCTGCTGCTGTTTCTACTCCGACTCTGGGGGAAGTTGGAAGCGTCTTGCACGGCATCGACGGTATTCCACACGTCGGCTCTCATTTCCTCCTCACCGCCCTGGGCGACGGTGCGACTCTGCCGGGAGCGGAGCACCTCATGCCAGGTGACAGGCTCTCCCTGAACACCGCGGCGGATTTAACGCACCTAAAGGGGATTCTGAGGAGGAGACAGTTGTACTGCAGGACTGGGTTCCATCTGGAGATACTTCCGGATGGCACGGTGCAAGGGACGAGGAAGGACCACAGTCGTTTCGGTAAATAAATAAATAATAATTTCTAATGCAACAAAATAAAGTGACGTAGTTATAATTAAAAGGTTTAAAAGCGACCGCGTGGAAAAGCTTAACGCACCTGTGAGTTTGGATCTGGGTCAACGTTGCAAAACCGACTCATTTGTTAAAGTTCCGGTCGAATCACCGCCTTTCTTTCTACGCAATTTAGTTCACGGCCAACGTGAACACATTACTGCAGTCAGTGCAATAAATAAATATAACACATATATATGTATATATATATATATACATATACATATATATATATTTAGTTTGACTCCAATGTCTCATGGAGACTGCTGACTGAGTCAAATCTGGATTTTTTTTTTTTTTTTTTAAATCTGTCACCTCAAAGGAAGTCTGCACAGAACAACTCTTGTTATTCTTCTCCAGGTATTTTGGAATTCATAAGCCTTGCCGTTGGGTTGATAAGCATTAAAGGGGTGGACAGTGGACTCTATCTGGGCATGAACAACAAAGGGGAGTTGTACGGCTCCGTAAGTACCACCTTTGTTTATTCTTGAGAATTTGTATTTTATCCAAAGTCATCATCTGGATGTCCAGAATGACACGTTTTGTCTTTGTTTTTTTTCCAGGAGAAGCTGACAGCCGAGTGCATCTTCAGGGAACAGTTTGAGGAGAACTGGTACAACACGTACTCGTCCAACCTCTACAAACACGGAGACAGAGGGACGCGTTATTTTGTGGCGTTGAATAAAGACGGAACGCCAAGGGATGGGACTAAATCCAGACGGCACCAGAAATTCACACACTTCCTGCCCAGGCCTGTGGACCCGGACCGTGTTCCAGAACTGTACAGGGACATCCTGGGCCACAGCTGAGACTCGGGAGGACGGGAGCAGATCAGGAAAAACGCTGCTGAAACCCTCGTTGGCGGGGAGCAGAAGAGAAAAGGAAGACGGACGCGGACGGGGGACGTGGACGTGGCCTGGTGCAGGCTGGTGGACAGCAGCTCGACCAGCAGGGATAAAGGTGCCGGGGCCTCCTGTAGGAATGCATGGCCATCTCTCAGCAGCCAGGAAGACAGGTTAGAATGTCTGTACGCTTGGCACGAGGACGGTCACAGGTTTTAGAGGCCGGACGACCGGCGAACCTGGAGCAGGACACGGAGATGGGGTCGTCACGGAGCACGTCCTCTCTTCAACTGTTGGACGGAGAGGTCACCTGACATGGACCGGGAGTTTTTGGAATCTGAAATGGGACAAGCTGGTACTTTATATTTGTCAGAGAGTCACAGCTGGTTCAGAAGGACTGCGGAAGGACTTGAAGGAAATCTGTTTTCTATACCTGTGTCTAAACCTTTTTAAGAGATAAAAAAAAGAAGAGCGAAATGTAACACTTTATTTATTCCTTTTAGAAACATATATATATTTATGTTATATATTTATTTATTTGAGAATATATTTTTGCAGTTAGACACATTAACTATAGAAAACAAAAACCCATAGATGTTGTATGGACTATAACGAGACTGAAACACTGTAACGTGAAAACCTTAATTTTGGAGAACGCCACGAGAACGATCGTAATTTCAACACGGAAAGCCGTGAAAATGAAACGTCAGCAACGATTGGAAAAATCCTGCTCACACATCTGACATGTATTTACTCCACAGGGCAACTGTGAATCATTTAAACACACACTGTTTGTCTGTTTAACACAGTGTAAAACCAAACTACTGTTACAAAGTTGTTTAATTAGAATCTCACATATTAAAAATACACAAATAAACTTGACAAAATCCTGACCGGGATGCTCTTTTTATCGACCTGACGTGGACGTTACAAGATGACTTTTTTTTTTCTGCCTCTTTCTTTGTGTTCTTACTCTTACAACAACGCTCCTTCAAATAACTTCAACTTTAACAGAACAATATTTGTACAGACGTTCACTTTACTGGTCGCCCTTATCTTTTAGCGTTTAAACGTATAAACCCGCTTATGAGATCAGTGTTGTCTTTCTTTATGGACGCCATTACAACCCAGGAATGAGTCTCAGACCACGATGCACGCATAAAACTTCAAAGCACCCCCCCCTCCCGAACCCCCCCTCAACGCTGAGAGACTGCACAACGGCGATCGGGACCAAATAAAATCTGACCTTTTGCTCAAGCCTCGCTGAGGTTTAGCACTTGTATAAAATCTGAGGTCGGCGCGATAAGGACTTTTGTGACCTTCACTGACAGTTTGAAGTCTGTAGCTCATTTGAAATGTCTCATTAAACCATGAAATCCAATGATGGCTTTTGCAAGGCTTGGTGTCCTGATATTTTAAGAGAACATTTGTCTATTTCGTGTAGAGAAAAAAATCCAAACACAAACATTATTTAACTGTTGTGTCTCTACGGAGTTGGCGTTCGGAGACGCCGCAGCTAAATCTGCTGCTATCCTATCTCACGTGTGCACAGTTTCCTCCATGCTTGGCAGCAGATCTGTGCTGATGCATGAAAACTGCAGCCTGTGATCTCGGCCCGGAGCGTATGACGGTGAGCCAGCGGGGGAGAGTCTTGGGTCTCAGCTCTCCCCCGTCTGCAGCTCCACTCACTGGGACTTTCCCCCCACCTGCACACCTTGAACATCAACACGCTTCTGTCGTCGATTAATGACACCATCCCAGAGTGTATTATAACCTGCGTGCACACGGACATCCCCCCCCCCCCCCCCCCCCGCCCCGTCCACTGAGCAAACACACGCGAGGCCTATTGCGACATGAAAAAGGATCCCCGCTGCTTGTTTTGTAAAAAGATGCTGTCAAGGCTCGTCTTTCTTAAGCTGCTCAGCGAAGTTAACAAGCATGAAAGTGATGGACAGGGTGTGCTTCATTCCTGTCTTCTCCCATCCTTCCAAGCTCTAGAAGAATGTGTTGCCATAATAGTTTATCCATGACTGTGACCGGCAGACTTTTTTGTTGCAAAAGAGACTAATGTTTCAGTCAGGTCTCATCCCCATTCACCTCTACGACCATGAAAAGCAGACTCGGTTTTATCCCTCAGAACCCTCCTCCTCTTCACTTTTTGAAGCTCAGCTCTTTAAACGCAGTGGAAATCCTGGCGTGTGATACCTGACACTCAGAAGTGGTACTTACTAAAATGATGCTTTTGTCCTACTGACCTTCACAGGGNTACTGAAGACCCCTTCATTAAACCTTCTCTGGAGAAGCACAAATGATGGATGCTCCTGACTTTCACCGTCTCCTCAGCAGCAACAGACAGACAGACAGACCGACAGACAGACAGACAGACAGACAGTCTGACAGACAGACAGACAGATGGACAGACAGACAGACAGACAGACGGACGGACAGACAGACAGACAGACGGACGGACAGACAGACAGACAGACAGTCTGACAGACAGACAGACAGATGGACAGACAGACAGACAGACAGACGGACGGACAGACAGACAGACAGACAGGCAGACAGTCAGTCAGACAGACGGACAGACAGACAGACGGACAGACAGACAGACAGACGGACGGACAGACAGACAGACAGACGGACGGACAGACAGACAGACAGACGGACGGACAGACAGACAGACAGACAGACGGACAGACAGGCCTCTCCAGGAAACCCAATGAAGTACCTACTGTATATTTGTGTGTGTCTGTGCACATGTGTGTGTGTGGCAGGTGTGGAAGTTAGTAATCTTCCATGTCTATCTTCACACTGCAGTCAGACAGTGCAGGTGTTCCCTCACACACACACACGGACACACACACACACACTGTGATCTCAGTCCTTCTCTCTGTCAACCAGGGATGTAACTTTGTTGGACCGCGATGAAGAGCAGCAGGAAAGGAGAGGGACAGGAGCAGGGGCAGGGGCAGGAGGGGGTGAGAGGGGGCGAGATAGAGGGGGGAGGGGGGGTGGAAATACAGTTGACTTTGTTGTCTGTCCCCGACTATCAGAGAGAATAATTTCTATATTTAAAAGGCTGCGGTGCAGAAGAAGAAGGGAGGTGCCGAGGAGCTCACCTGTTGCTCCAAAGCTGTGGCCACTTTTAAAAGTGTGTTTGCGCAGGTTTAGTGCCTGCAGCTTTGTGTCATTTGAATCCTGCAACTATTGATTTCAGGCTCTTTGTTGTTTGTTTATTCCTTAGTAAATTGCTGTGCGCACAAATTATGAGCTGCATGTGTGTTTATAGGGATTACAGCAGAAGTGTAAGTATAGCATGAACCACTTGATACTTTTGGGCTGCTTTTGAGTCGAGAAGGAGAGAGGAGATAGAGGGAGAGAGGGAGAGAGAGAGGGGGAGAGGGAGAGAGAGAGATGGCAGCCCCTGCTACTGCTAACAGATACCATCCACTCATCTAACTCCTCATCCATCGATCATTTGTGTAGAATGACCTAAAAAATATATATATATATCGTCTTTCACGGCCCGTGCATCGTGCCCCATTTCCACTCAATTATTTTTAGTGTCACCGCCTAGAGGATAGTGTGGTGTACTTTCTGCAAGCAAAGAAAAAAGAAAAAAAAAATCAGAGCAGCATACCTGATTTACTGACACACCACATCACTCGCTGTCAGCTCCGGTGGAAACTATGCTCGTCTGTTTGCATCTCCATGGAGACATCAGGCCGTGTTTAGATGTTGTGCTGAAAAAGAAGAGAAAGAGAAGAAAAGCTGTCATTTGTGCAGAGCTCCTCAGTTCCAACAAGGCCGTACACTCTGAGCAACACTGCTGCGAGTTTTCACCGAGTGACAATGTTTTTGTTTTGTCAAAGGGAGGTGAGACGGCAGAGCTGAACCTGGAGGAGAGGGAACAGACACTCAGTGTAGTAGCAGTACATTCAGTAGTAGACTATATACAGGAAATGGACCTGCAGTAGTGGGGCCACTTTCTGCTGTCTGATCATCACGGGTCGCCACAGCTGTAGGACTGATGTCCTACCGACACAACCCCAACCCAGGAGGTTGAATGGAACCTGAAACTTTCTGATATCAGGCAGGAATTCTGCCTTTCTTTGACCCCACTCCACCACCGCTGCACCCACAACCTCCATCCTACACTCACAGACAAATGGGGTGAATATGCAGACACCATTAATAAAGAACAGTTAATGCTGGGGCTCATCTTGCTGTAAGGCAAGTTCACTCTCCACTCTACCACTGTGTGGCCCCAGACGACCGACAACAGAGTTTTTATGATCTGCTTTATTCTCACCGTTACATCTCACACCAATTTTTTTCATCATTAATTTTTTTTGTTGTTGTTTTGAACATACAACAAAGGCAGAACCAGACCGAAAAAAAGTTTCTGGCTCCCCCTCTGCTCACCCCTCACATCTGCTGACCAAACGGCAGAGAGAGCTGCCATGTCAACTCATCCTGCGGCCCATGGGTCCACATTACTGAGTCACTAATTAGTTCTTGACATTTGGGAGCTGTAATTGCCCCCCCTGAAAAGCATGAGGCATCAATTAGGCTCTCAGCACCATGACAGGTTATCCCCACAGGACATAATCGCCCTGCTGGACTGCCCCGCCTGGGCACACACATGCACACACAAAATGGACACACAAACATTTTTGGGGGACATTTTGGATGCAATCCAGTGGAGAAAGCACCGGGATTTAATGAATAATTTGACCCGGGTCAGTTAGTAATAAAGTAAGTGAGTATTAATGAAGTGTGTGAGGTTCACACTTTGATTTTAACCATCTCTAGTGCAGCCTGACACTCTCCGCTCCCAGGAGGCCGGGAGCTTCATGGGGTCAGAAAAAAAGGGGGTCAATTGGTTCATTTCCATAGCTTCCACTTTAAACATTCTTGCATGCTTTGGAAGCAATTCAATCAGCAGAAAAAACACAGCTCAGCAGCTAGGACTGACCGGCCATCATTGTCCACGCAGACGCAGCTCATAAACAAGATGGATGTGTCCGTACTGAGAAACACAACACAGAAACACAACACAGAAAGCTCTGCTAGAAACACCACTGAAAGATGCTCTGGAGTTAAAAAAAAAAGCTCTGCTAAAATCTTGCTTTTTTTTAAATATATGTTCATATTTTTTCAAAATCAACTCAAAGGTAAAACAGCTCAAACTGGTGAAAAGGGTTGGAGACACAGAGACCAGTCTGAACTGGTTTTAGTCATTGACATCAGAGACATTATGTCTTGTGTCTTTTTGACTTGGCCTGTATTTGTCAGTGTCAAAATTTTTTTGATTTATACAAAATCTCTTTTTTTAAATGACAGTAAATTACATAAAAAACCCTGACGAAGATCCTAAACGATTAGTGACGCTGTAAATGGAACCACTGCTGTTATATGGAAGATGAAAATGTCCAGAATAACCTACGATAACAAGTGTTTCTAAACATGAGATTCAACAGCTCTGCTTGATAAAGACAGACTGTACTCTTTCCGCCTAGTGGCCAAAGTGGAAATGCGCTTTGTTGCCCCTCACTCAGGCGGAAAATTGCAAACCCATTTGTCATTGTGTGCCAAGACGCAAAGGTCAGTCAATAGATTTCTTCATGACAAGCTTACGGAATCGAATGTTTTTCCACGGCCTCACCCTTTCACACCTGCACCTCCAGGTAAAATAACAAAACAAGGACGAGAGGGAGAGAAAAGAGGGCTTAGAGGGAGAGAGAGAGAGAGAGAGAGAGATTTAAAGACGGGGGAGAAAAACGATACGTTCAGAAGAATGTGCCGTGAAACCTGTGCACGTTTATTGGCCACTTCAGCTCAATTCAACTCAATATACATTTTACTCACAGTGGCGGATAAAATGCCAAGGGGGTTTGGCCGAGGTCCAAACCTGGAGAATAGCAGTAATTATTATTACTGTTTGCTGCCGGAGAACATTCTTACACAGATGTTTGTGATCCTTCTGTGACAAACAACAACTGCCTGACATTTAAAGTTAAAGACAGAAGTTTTTCTCACTGCTTAATCCAGTCGTTTTCTTTGGGCCTCCGTTTGCAGTCAGGGCTAACGTCAGGCCCCCGAACTTTACCTTTAACAACGGTATTCCAACCAAACTGTGAAATTTTCAAACACAGAAAATAGTTTTTGTCTGGGTTTTTGCTCAGCTTGGCAGTCGACAAAGTGTTTTGAGGTTTTAGACTGGATTTATGTCCTGAAGACTTGGATTGCAGAGTAGGTGGAATTGAACCCAGAACCTTCGTGAATGCCGGTGAAAACCCTGCACAAATATAGCCCCACTCTTAATTAATGCTGATTAATATGAACAGCTAAATTCAAAAGTACACCAGGAAGTCATAAATAAATACATAAATAAAATTTAAAAAAAAAAATGATAGAGAAAATCTCTTAAGGGCCAGTGCACCATTAATTCAAATTAGTACATTAACATATATGGTTCAACTTCTTGATGCAAAAACCAAATTTAATTGAGAGAAATTGAAAGTAAGCTCCAAACCTTTAGATAAATAATTAAGATTCAAATCAATGTGAAACATAGAGGGAAACATCTGCACTTTTTTTGTTTTTTTTTTTAACTGCAGCATATTTTTGACACACAAAAATAAAAGATAAAGAGCGATAGAATGATCGGACCATTGAGTCAGAATGACTCGTCACCATCAGCACAGACCGACGCAGATAACGTTCACATAGACGCACAATACAAACCATTCAGTCTCTGCGCAGAAAAAAATTTACATGATGTACTTGTGGAAAACAGATAGAGAGCCACAGAGCAAGTCTGTGTTTGTTTGTTTTAACAAGTCCTTAAAAACAAGGCTACAGTTTCACTACAGAGTTCATTTCTAACATTAAACTAAATTATAGTCAACAGGTTTAAGGGTGAAAATTGTAGTCTGTAAATCTGGGAGCCAATCAAACCATTCACACCTCATTCACACCTACAGTCGATTAAAAACAATTAACACAATCCTGCACCTAGTTACGAGTACGTGAGTATAAAATTATTTTCTAATTTTCTTCCATTATGTTTCTCATATACAGTACGTTTAAATAAAGTGATATATATGTGCATACATTTTTCTATGAATGCATTGTATAATATCATACCCATAATTAGGAAAGTCTGACTTTAACTTTTTGCCGATCTTGTCCAAACACACAATTCAACTCAGTGATGATATCAACAGATATCGATATATGCCGATATATTTTTCGCCAAAAACTGCGATAAACATCTCAGGACCCCACGGGCGATTCCAGAAAATTTTCATTATCGGAAGAAAAACTCTTAGAGATATTACATAATTATGCTAATACCGGGCTGATAATACGGGTTGGCCAGCATCATCTGACATCCCTACCCATAATGCAATAGTTTACGTATCTGCTACAACTTAAGTGTTTGTACCATGATAAATTATTCATTTAAAGTGATTGTCTGCTACAACTTAAGTGTTTCTTTTTTTTCCTTTAAACACCATGATAAATTATTCATTTAAAGTGATATTTCCTCTTTTTTTTTCTCCAAGTCTTGTAAGGTAATCTTTATATTAAACAGAAATAAATTTGTCCTTCCACTCAAGGGAGTCGGGTTCCTATGAACATGATATGACTTAAGAAAGCAGCACGGCTCCAGTTTAAACTGGGCTTTGCCCGACACTACGTTAATCTGCACCTCTAACACAGTTAACTTGTATAAATCACTGGGCTGAGCGCGAACAAGTCCGGGCGTGTTCCGAGGCACGAGCGATCCAAGAGAGCGCTGCTCCAGTCCTGGTTGTTTTTCAGAACATAAAGGAACCGGAGCCAACGCAAAACAAAAGAAAAAAAGAAAAAAAAAACCACTTCAGAGGAATCGATGGGAATCAATGAAGCTGTGATCTGTAAACACTGCATCACTGCATAATTACATCATTTTTGCAGAAGGTGAACGGTGTCTGCGGCACAAAGGTGGCTGAGAGTGAGGAGTGAACAGTCCATAAAGCTGTCATTATGAATATCACCTCAGACCACAGTCGGATTAGAACCGTACTGCGTAGGAATAAAACCACATTATTGACTTTTTTTTTTCTAGTTTGAGCTCAGCGCCGCCCGTGGCTGCTATCACTTCACTGCAGTGGAGAGTGTGCGTGAGGGCGGGGCAGGGGCGAGGGTGGGAGGGGTGACTTCAAACAGACATCCTCCTCCTCCACAGTAATAACTCTGAGTGCTTCTGGAAGGAGGAAATCCCCTGGCCAGGAAAGACACATCACTTCACTGCAGAGGCAACAAACCGTGAGGTCTGAACACAGTGGCCCTGAGAACAACACACAGGGTTTGACTGCAGGTCTGAGGCCAACGTTAAACAAAGCTGAAACCAGAGTTCTGTTTCAAAGAGCTGAGAAACGTTCACAAACAAATCACTGACATGAAGACAAAAAGAGAAGCATCACAGCGTTATCAGCTGACGAGATGAAGAATAATTATGAACAATAGTCATCAAGGCCAACCAGTGGAGCGGTTAGTGCTACTGCCTTACAACCGGAAGATCAACAGTTTTCACCCTTCCCTCCCACCGACCAAAAACACTTTCATGTTAATTAGAGAATCTAAGCTGACCATTGGTGTGAATTATTTTTTTTCTCTAAAAGTCTGAGGTGTAGCTCCGCCCTCACCCTACGGCTGCAGAGATTGGCTGAGGCTCTACGCTGAACCCTAACTCAGTGTTAGAAGATGAATAAATCTGATCAATCAAGTGATACATATAATTATGAAGACAAGTCATTGGTTACTGTACCAGGACATGCATCGGCTGGCCAATCACAGCTGGACAGACCGAGGTGACACTCTTCTCTCTGGGTACTTCAGCCCTGAGCACTCAGTGATCGGTGTAGCCGCACACCTCCAACAGTAGTTTGGTTTAGTACTAGAAAAAAAAAGAAAAAAAATACTTAGACTTCAGACTTAGTAATCTCTCAGTTGGAGCAGCAGAAATTGTAGCAAATCCTCAGCGACCCATATCAATCCAAATGTGCGTGTTGTGCGGCTGATTTCTGCAGCTGATCAGAGGCTCAGAGTTGAATCGGTGCAGCCTGGAGCAGGCCTTTATTTTGCTAAAGCCTGCATTTCCCCACAGAATCAAAGGCTCTGTGTAAGATGAGAGCCTGCTGAGCAGGAGCAGGTGATAAGCTGCTTCCTACCAGAAGAATTAAACAGATTCACTCCTAAGAAGTGGTGGTCTGAAAGCAGACACTAGTTAACAATAACTTTAACCTTCACAGCATTATTGGGTAACTGTGCAGCTCCCGTCATGCAGTAAATTGCAGTTTTCCTGAGGAAGAATCGGTGGGTTGCACAGGATTTAAAAGGAAATTAAAGAGGGTTTCAAATGGTCCAACCTTGGGCCTCAAAATTGAACAAAATCCAAAAAAATACAACCACGAACCAGTTAATGTTGGCTACAACAGTCGTGGTCCAGTAAAAAACAGTACATCCAGGCCACAGTAGACCAGATGACAGGGTTCAGAGCCTAAAAGTTTTGAATGTCATCACTTATATGCATATAATATCAAATTAAGTCATGGGTGTGCAACATTTGTGTTCATTTAGTCTAAAAGCCTTCAGTAAAAAGTCAGGAATGATGGGGGTTTAAAAACAAAATTTGAAAGATTTGATCTTTAGAATTTAGGGGTTTTTTTTTTAATTCTTGACTTTTTTCTCCATGTTGAAAAAAAAGCAAATTCTCAATCTTAGATTAAACCTGAAGTGAAATCGTCAAAAATATTTTTCTGGTTTGCAGATATAAATTTCCTTTATTTGACTGAGAGGGGAAGAAGGATGATGAAGCACCGGTCTCCTCCTCTTCCTCCTCCTCCTTCTTCATTCTCCTCACAAGTAATGCATACCTCTCCACGTCTCAGTAACTAATCACCATACAGATCTGGCCAAGAATAGAGTGGCTGAACACACAGGAAATATCATATTCAAGCTTGCTAGAATTTCACTTTTTGTTTCCAAGTTCATTTCCCATCATGCCTTTGACCATGAAGATATCAGTACTGCCTGCACCACTGGGCAGGGGTCCTTGACTTCAAAGCCCAGGGACTAAAAGCAAATGTTTTCGGGGTGGGGAGGGGGGTTGTTCAAAAGTTCTATTGTGTGAGTGAGGAGCCATTTCTTTCCTCTCTGTAATGTTTACTGTGTAGACTCACATTAGTCTGTCTGCTTGGTTCCAGTCCTTCACTAACACAGGTGTGTTTTCACTGGGTTCACACTTATCGCTGAGGTGATCAGAGACCTGTTGCCAAGCAGGCAGCGCGATCTCCCAGTGTTACGAAACCAGAAACATTTGTTGTGAAAATGAAGGAGGTGACCAAGACATGACGTGTGGCGGCCGAGAGGAGAAAAACAAAGACCAGAGCACACGGTCATAGTTAGAGAGTGTCTCGAGTCTGGAGTCAAATTGGTATCATACATTACGCCTTAATCACCGGCCCTGCTTTTTTATTTGACAAATTCCCTGAAGTCGCCTTCAACTTCAGAATGAGTCAGAGCTCGTCATGGCCCCATCCTTCAGAGAGCTGACACCCACCTGTACGGCAGGATCAAAGCGCCGCTTTGAGCATATTAGGAAAATACAGGGGACTCATTGCAGGCGCTCAAAGTGGTACATAGATGCTTAGCCACACATTCTTGCTGTCAGAGACAAACAAAGACGGTTTTCTGGGGAGGAGAAAGGCATGTTGTATCCCCAACATGCCTCGTCTGTGGTGACCAATCACAACAGACGTTACAATCCCCCAGCCCCGGAGGAAGATAGGTGAGGGTTTATGTTGTCATTGGTGGATGTTTTACAATACTGCTGGCAGTTAATGTTTATTTTTACAAGGACAAGCTCATTCCTTTGGTCTGACCTGGAATGATGTAGCGTGTCATCATAACAGCATTGATAGGAGCGTGTTTAAATGTCTGCAGACGTTACACATTCATTCAGGCTCCGCTGTGTCAACAAGCGAGCTGTCATGCTGCAAATGCACCAGACATTTGTGTCTTCTTTAATTTGTACACATGTCACCCAGGTAGTTTTGTGAAAAACAGACCAAAACACACTCTTGCAAAAGTCAATCATTCTGGGAGGTTCCTCTGCCTGGTATAAAGAATTATGTCATACAGAAACACAGAAGAGCTTTCTGATTGTCCAAAAGTCAATTTCATCCAGGTGTAATGTCCAGCCACATCACCAAAAACTACTTCAAGCTGCTCAAAAACGTTTTAACTGTGTCATTTTGCATAAATAATAATGGCTAAAGTAAATTACCAAATGTGGAATTTATTACGTTTTAAACCAACAAACTGTTCTGGGAATGAATGGTTTGTTGACATTACCCAGAACACACGCAAACGTGCCAAAAAAAAAAAAAACGGCCTTAAAGACTTTGGCAACCAGCAATGTTGCCGTATCCTCTGGTTCATTACCCGGTCTTCACTCTGAGGGGTTGCTAAGACGATGACACTCTCATTCACACCTGCGACTCTATATCACAAATATATACAACACCATAATATAACAACTTGAACACCATAAGGAAACACAGAAAGTAAGGCTCTGACTCTGACCGCTGGACCACCGTTTGTCATGGATTAGTCTACCAAACACTACAGGAAGAGTCTACAATAAAGAAGTAGCGTCTGAAAGGTGAAAGGGTGTAAATCTGCCGCACCGACACAGCAAGTCACAAATCAGCTGAAGGGTCTGCCTGAATCAGCTGAAAATCTGACAGAGCGTCAGGTCAACAACACTGATGCTCCTGGGCCGTGAGTAACAGCGAGTGTGTACAAACACAGGGCTTTGACGTGCAGGATAACAGATGAGCCACAGTTTGGCCAGACGGCGTCCGCGTCTCCCTTAAAAAAACGTCACCTTATTAATGCCCTTCTGTTTTGCCTCCGAAAGCGGCAACATGTCTTTAGAACACCCTGATTGGATGTTGTTGTGCAGAAAAGAGGAGAAGAAAACAAAAAAAGCTGATGACAGGGCACTTTCATGTTACTTATCGTGACACACTATCAGCCAGATCAAGATGGGCCAGACAAAGTACCACCAGGTCCCGTAGGTCGGAGCTGAATGTTCATCTGTTTCATCAAATCTCTGTCTTTACTCCTCAGGAGAGATGAGGTTGGTGGTCCATGAATTTAGACCACAGTGTTATAAGAACAGGAGCCACTGTGGCAGATAAGGCTAGTCTTATTCAAGGGCTGCTATCTTTGTTTTTCTGAAGAAGAAAAAAAAATACACAAATATGGAGCTGGATGAAAAGAGAGTGGGAGAAAAGCTCTGATAAACTACATACACATCATCTCACGCAACACTTGTCGGAGGGCGATGTCCTTAAAAAAATAAAAATAAAAATTGAAATCTCCCTGTGAGAGAGTGCAGGATAGGACAGGACTGAAGACGGAACACGGACACACGCACAGATGTTCTGTTCTGCAGAACAGCAACAAGACTTCACCACAACAAAACATTATCACTAATACTGATACAAAGAACTAAGAAGTTATCTGTTATGGCTGTGCGTATCGCTGGCCGTGACGTCAAACACCCTGACGTGTCGTCGGCACAGTCCTTCAGCGTGTTGTGTTTCCACATGTCACCAGATATGTATCGAAGTCAGTCAGAGACGATGTGAGGTGTGAGCGCGAAGGCCAGGGAGACACTGCATGAGACGCTGAATGAGTCACTAACAGCACTGAAGTATGAGGTTTGAACTACATTTAACAACAAAACAAAAAGCTCTGCAAAGTAGCAATTTATTTACAATGAAAATATTGCAAAAACTGCAGTTTGATTGTAATACTGATCTTCTTATATAAAAATAGCAAATAGCAAAACATAATTCTCTATTTTTACTAAATATTACTTAAAATGGAGTACACAAAGACTTTAAACCTGCATTAGTGTGTGAGGTAGCTCTACATTAAATAGACCTGCACATGTTTAAATTAAGTACAGAGAGGAGGGGATTTAGCGACATCTAGTGGTAAAGTTTTAGAAGAAGAAGTTTGATTCTTCTTTGCAAATAATGACTAATACTGATGTCCAATATGCATTTGTGAAAATCCAAACTTTTCTCACAGCATTAGTACCTGGAACTATTCCACCCAGTCTTTCTAATGAACGCCCGCTCCTTTGTCCTGTCGTTCTTTTCCCTTGATTCACGTCCTAAGTGTGAGTGTGATGTCCCCCAGGGTGCGGGGGGGGCGTGACAACCACTCCTCTCTACAATAAATGTCATTGTTGGAATGTATTGCTGCATCCACCAGTTACTTTAAAACATTATGAAACAGTGCCGGTGCAGTAATGGAGATGCATTTTAGCCCCGACTGTAAATCCAAGCTTTCCATAACTGCAGGCGTCGCAGCACGAGATCCTTGTTTGACTCCATTGTTAGTCACTGCTGAATGACAGCATTAGACTCTCACACTAATAACGATGACTGCTGCACAGAAGGATGTTGGAGCAACTGGCAATGGAAGTATATAATTTGCTGTTATCGCTCGACTTCGGCGCTTGTTCCTGTATCTGACTGCAGCGGGAAAAACCCAGCTCCCTGAAACAGAACACACCACTCATCTAGAGCAGGTGTTACCTTCGAATACCGCAATAAAAACATGACTTTCCACACTAGTAACGTCCCCGGTGATTTATCTGACAATTCCTTCGGCGACGGCCTTTTCTTGTTCGGTCGTTACAGAGAATAATTTAATTTAAAAAAAATGACAGTTTGAGATTTATCCTGCGGTGATTATTATCTTTTAGCATTTACGTTTAGACGCAGGAATTGTAGTTTTTTAACCATACAGAGTCCAACGGGGGGACAGCCAATGAGAATAAACATAGGTCACGCTGGCTCCTGTTTGTTCGGAAACGGCAGAGGAGAAATTGTGAGAGCGATAAGGACAGACTAGTCTATTTGTTCGTGCGTGGGGGCCCCTCAAGGGCCCAAAGACTCTGATGTCCACACAATCTTTGCGCTGCACTCTGACATTTTCTCAGCAGTATGAAGTTACACACCAGGAAAACCACGTCTACATCCAGCCCATTTTCTGCGAACAAAACATTCCCTAACCCCTGTTCCTGGTCACACGGGTACAAAAATGTCAAAAGTTCCTAAAAGGATGGGTGCCGAAACTAAGTATTCTCAAATGAGAGCGGTCAGAAGGCAGCGTTTTAGACGACCCGTGTATCAGTTACTATTTTTATCTCCAGCTTCTGTTTGGCGCACTGACCTGTGTGACCCGTTGGGCTCCTACAGAATTTTGGGCAGAGGGCAAAGAGCGTAACACTCTTACTGAAGTACATCCCTCAGGAATACAAGTGTTCCAAGGGTGAGAGTTTGTAACCATTGTTGGCTGGAGGCTAGTGGGGGTCACAGCCCACCCATCAGAGGGGGAAGGTGAGGTCGCCGTGGCAGACAAGGATGGAGTATAAACACCAAACAGGAAGTGGCAGATACAAGTTTTTAGGAACTTTACGACAACAAATACTAATGAGTTCAACTATTAAAATGTCTCTCTTAATCAACAACAAAAACAAATGTGAGCAGAGCAAATAATCAATACTTGAGGTGAACTCTTAGGAAATGTGACTTATTGAATTTAGGAGTAAAAAAAAAACGTGACAGGATCTCTGAAAACAAGACCACTGTTCATCATCATCATCTTCAGCTGGAAGGCTGGACCAGGCTGATAGCAAAAGCCCTGTCTAAATGAACTGGACCAGGCTGATAGCAAAAGCCCTGAAAAAAAGGAGATCACTGATGCATGAATGAAAAGCGCCTTATGTCAAATATAATTGTCCCGGCCTGAAAAACAAGCTTGTGATGTCTGATTTGATTCCCTGGTGTTCGGCTCGGGTTACCTCTGCTCTGCTTTAACCCTGATTGTCTTCACAATGAAGTTCCTGGGAAGATTTAAGGGATTTTCTGATTTCTTGGTGTAAGAATGGACTCGGTTTAATGACCTCCCCCCTCTCTCCTGGTCAGTGTTGGTCCAACTAAGGAAATGAGTTCCGTTCAGAAGCCGACCTGCCGAACAAAAACAAAACACTTTTTTAACCAAAGTGCCTCAGTATCTATGACGAGTTATCATTACGTAGAGGAAGTAATAATTGTTATATTATTATTACTTTGTATAACTTTTTTTTATATGCTTTCGGTACAAAAAGGCCCTTTAATCATATACTATACAAAGAGACAATAATTTCCAAAAGAAAAGCAGTTTCTCATCTGCAAATCTGGACAATTGTTTATTTTATTCTACAAGGATTTGAAAAAAAAAAATCTGCAAATCTAGACAATTGTTTATTTTATTCTACAAGAATTTGAAAAAAAAAGAAAAGAAACAGTTAAAAATTTATGGAATTCTGAAGCTGTGATACAACCAAACTAGTGCCTCTTGTCTCAGCGAAGACGTCATCTGCTAGATTAACTGGAGTAAATATGTAACAGGTCAGTGTGTGTGTATAAATGTCAGTCAATTTGAACGCCCTGCCATCAAACAGCGCCTCCACTCTCCCAGCGACTGTCACTGTCACAGACCGAGCCTGGTGATAACAGTCCTGTCCTGTCGACAGCTCACATCCGGGAACATTCGACAATATGACCAACTCCTTCAACAGTGTCTTCGTATTCGTCCCCTCCAATATTCGTCCACACCTGCTTTGACGCAGTATTGTGACGTCTGTCTTTTCAATTAGTTATCAGTTGTTTATCTCATTAAGGATCAAATATCAGCCCAAAGGAGCAAAAACAATCAGATACAGTCCAACATGGAGGATGTGAACTTTTCCTGCAGAAACCTGTTCCACTGGTGGCTGCTAGGGGGTCTGTCGTCCCTCTCTGGTTGGACTGGTCATGATGTGAGACCTGTGCAGTGTCCTTTTTTTCCTCTTGTCTCTTTCTGCCCATTGCTGCTGGACTGGAAGCACGTCCAGCTGTCCCATCATTCTGTCAGCGCCACCATCTCCCTCAGCCCTAGATTAAAAAAAAAAAGCCAAAGGGGCCGCCAGGAAAAGTGGCTTGCCCTCGTCTCTCAGGACTTATGTCAAAAATGTTTCAGTCCTCAGGTAATTTGCTACAGTCCGGGATCCTTTCACTGTTTACTTCAAAGAGTCTCAACGACAGGGTCAGAAAGAGAGAGAGAGAGAAATGAGAGGGAGAAAAATGATATTGAGTTGTGGGTAGTGACAGATCTACATTCTTTGGTAGGGACATGCCGTGTGAGTGAGGAGTGCTTGTGCGCTGATGCTGACTGTCTGCCGTCTGCAGCGGTCTTTAAATCTGACTGATAAAAGCATGAATCCGCGGATTGTCTTCCAAAATAGAGCTTAGTCAAACAGTTTGACTGCACTGCAGAAGAATGCACAGTCACTCCTGCACAAACAGACAGGTTAGCAGACACTTTTGGTTCAAGTTCATAAATCACTCAGGCCATCGCATGCAAATTGCAGTGATTTGCTTTTGTTGTCCGACTGCAGGGAGTTCCATTTTACAGTGTAAAAGTTCAGCCCCGGCTGTAAGATTATCCTCTGCGTTTGAACTTAAATGCTAACTCTTAAGACCTGTGGAATGAGGAAGAGAACCTGCCAATGTCAGCGAGATCACAGGCCGAGAACTGGAGGTTCTTAAATGATTTTGAACTCATGAATGGAACTCAAAAAACTAAAATTTGATTTTTTTTTTAAAATTATTTTTATTTTGTGTTAGATCAGCCTTCTACGTAAGACTAAGTCCCTTAAGGATGTACATAATATAATATAAACATAAAATAACTGAAATTGATTTTTAAAAGAGGATAAATCATGATGTAATGAAGTAACTAATTTAATGAGTCAATATTATTCAAAAAATTATAATTACGACAGACTTAGTCATAACAATGGGACAAACATTTGTAATTCTGACATTAAACAACAATATTTTCAGATTAAAAGTGAAAAAAGAAGGTCGTCAGAATCAAAATTTAATTAAAAGAATATGAGATATTCAGACTTTTGAATATGTAGTCAAGTCAAATTATGATATAAAAAAGTTAAAAAAATGATGTAATGAGGTTAAAGTCTTAGATGTAAAATCTAAGAAAAAATTAGTTAAAAATTGATCCACAACAGAAATAAAGTGAGATTAAAAGCCATAACTATGGTATAATCAATATGATAAATCATCTATAATATGAAAACCAAATTATAAGATGTTAAATTGTAAAGGAAAAAGTTAAACGATATGTGAAATGAAAGTGATTATAATAGGAATTAAATGTAAAATAAAATGTAAAACGCAGGAGACGATGGAGACAAAGAGACAGACGTGCAGACAGGCCTTTCAAAGTCTCAAAGTCTTGCGCTTTAGTAGCAGTTTGACGGGCACCTGTCGTGTGAAGCCGCTGAACTACACAAATACAGTATACGCACTCATGCTACTTGCGTGTGTGCTTTCACTCCATACAAGTGTGCACATGTGCGATACAAAAGTCTGACACCAGTCCCGTCTGCAGCATTAGGACATTGAAATGCTCCGACACCAAAGAATTCACAGCTCCTCAGCAGCCCATGACAAACCCGTCACATCTCC